TGCTTTTGAATATTTACTATACAGGTGGACGGTGGAAAATTTTTCCACGTGAAAATGGGCGATGATGCAAAAAAGGTTGGAAACTCTTGTATTAGACTAACCTAAGCTTAGTAATTATAAGTTCAAAACCAACCTTTTCAGACTTCAGTTCTCATTGGGTACCTACTATTGTGAACTTGTACTAACTTAGATAAGGCCACTTAACATAGATCAATATTTTATAGCCTGGTGTCGATGATCATTGGTATTAGGGAGTTCAGTTCTCAGTAAACTCATTATTGAGACTTTATGTCAGATTAAACTAAGTAAATATCTCCAAAAGATTACTATTGTAGAACAATGTTTGACCACCAGTTGTGTTATTAGTTCAATCGTCATTTCGTATACGACTACTGTGACCCTGCACCACAGACATAATAAATACACCTGAGTTTCAAATAAACAGGGTGTTTAGAATAGAAAGAGTGACTAGATTTTTTTTCTAATTTTCCGTAATGTAAAGCTTTATCTTAGAATCCTCGCATCTTAAGATGATGATAAGACGTGGAGGACATTTTTCGAATATTTAATTGATGTGGTAAACCCGATTATAGTAGAATGAACTCTTCGTCCTCTCATAAATACTAACTCCGATACTTCCTATAGAAGAGTCGTAGGGCAGAGGAGACGCAGTGTTAACCTACCGTTCGGACGTACACCTCTATCTTCTTATTACTAATACTCTTGCTTTGTATATATCTGTTATTTAAATGCACTTGTTCAACTTACCTTCGTCTTCAGTATCTTTCTTTCTGGCCCCTAAACAGGCCACAACATTAATAAAAGGGGTGGTTGGAATAAGAATGTCCTAGATGGATTTTCTCTTCCAAAATTAATAATTCCGGCCTGTCTTTTTTAAAACTTTTATTGACAATTGATGACAGTTGTCAGGATTAGGTCAGATGGTTAGACAAAGAATCCGAAGAAAAACTTATCTCCAATTTACGAGCTACCGTCATCTCGGGCCGAATGCTGATTCTGTCTTCCTCGTGCGGTCAAAATACAACAATTTCATTGTGAAGAAAAATTTGGCATCTTTCAAAGATCGTCTGATGGTCACAAATCAAAACAACTTTATGAAGTGATGTTTTAAAAAATTTCAGAGTGTAACTGAAAAAGATGACAGAAGATCGTAAGATTATTGGTTAATTTTACGACATGTCAACTCTTGTGAAAGGATCAGAAGAATTTTGATTTGCTGTGTAGATAAAAACAGAACACTGAAATTCATTCTGAAAAATGTTTCATCACGTAAACATTTATGAAAGAATGCTGAAAAGTTTTCAACCCAATCCATTACTTAAAATCTGGTCACAGCCAAACATCTCAATTTTTTGGAAAGTTAGTATCTCATCGTACAATAAAAATTACAAAAACAGCTTTAAAACCTATAAATTTCAAAGGAATTCTTTTAATGAAAGCTTAAGTCGATTTACATTACTCACGAAGCCACAAATATTAAAGTGAGTACATAAGTGTATTAATGTAGTTGAAGAAAAAGAATGGAAAATAAAAAAAAAAAAAAAAAAGAAAAATTTATTGTCGTTATCTATAATGAAAACAATTTTCACCTCTTAATTTTTTATTTTAAAATTCAGAAAAAATAAATAAACGTTAAAAACCAAAATACAATATGTGGAGATGACACGAAGTGGACAATTTTATTAATGACGCGTTTCGCTGGTGAGCATATGCTCTCTTTGGCTTTTTAAGGTTAAAATGATAAAGAAAACAAAACTATGTACATTATTTACATTATTCGGACTACTGTCCTCATCTTTGTCGCCATATTTATCACAACGTTTCGGCCGTTGTACGCTCTGGCCTTCTTCAGGTGGTTGAAATTTCGAACTGAACCCTTTATTTCGCTCACTGGGGTAGACTGTTCTAGTTGCACGTGCCATGTTTGATGGATGTCAGTTAACAGTCATCTCCTGCTAATTTCCCTCTGAAAGTTCTCCACTGCCTTAACCGGGTATTGAACTCACACTCTTTGGGTCCTGTCACTGGATCTAACCAACGCCTTTATCCACTGTGCCATGAAAAATTTGAGGGAGAAATAATCGTGAATGTTAAATTTCACGGCAAAACAAAAAAACTTAAGATATACGCCATGAAAGATACTGAAAATCTAGTAGGTATCGAATGGATGCAGAAGTTCAACGTTTGGGACCTACCTATCAACTCTTTTTGCAAAAAGTTAGAGGTTGAACCATTAGATACTATAAAATTGAAGGAGGAATTATATAATCAATTTCCTGAGGTATTTTCAAGCGGGTTGGGACGATGCAATAAATTTAAGGCCAAAATAGAATTAAAAGAAAACGTCCAACCAATTTTTAAAAGAAGCGAAATGTACCGTTCGCTACTGTAGAAAAAATAGACAAAGAATTGGAGAGACTTGCACAAACTGAGATTCTATCAAAAACAGAGTTTAGCAAGCGGGCAGCGCCGGTGGTTTATGTAAAAAAGAAGTCAGGAGAAATCCGCGTATGCGCAGATTTTCCGACGAGACTCGACAAGGCGATAAAAGACCACCATTACCCACTACCGAGCCCAGAAGAAATATTTACAAAGCTCAACGGCGGTAAGATATTTTCAAAAATAGATCTTAGTGAGGCTTATCTACAAATTCCAGTACAAGAAGAGAGTACGAAAATCCTTTGCATTAATACGTACAAAGGGTTGTACAAATTCAACAGACTACCATTCGGAGTAAAAATTGCACCTGCAATTTTTCAGCAAACGATGGACAAAAATACTAACTCCTCCCAAAAAGGAATCTAAGGAGGGGGGTGTTATGGGGTCCACCCCTTTTTCATATAAGTGAACTCGACCAGAGTGTTACTGGGACTGCTGCCGTTAAATACCCAGAGTCAGTCAGGAGATTGATAGAGATTGGGAGAGTGAGTAGAGATTGTGATTGAGTTGGAGATTGAGTAATAGTGTGAGGTAACCGCTTGTAGAAGTCAGTTACAAGCACGTAGACTCTAAGGAAGTCCTATTTCGATACTATATCTATATATATTATTATTACGACTAACCGCATTCCTGGATTTACTAACAATATACCCATTGTATTATTGTGTAAATACATTTAATTTCTTATCTTTATTTCTTGCGTTTGTCATTCATTGGAGACCGAATTTCATCTCGAATCCACAACAATTATATATATATATATATATATATATATATATATATATATATATATATATGGGTTCTTGTTAGTTGTCAATATACCTCATAACACCCTCGAGCGTTTAGCCTCGGAGCGGATAGAATGGAGACCAATGTGTTTTAGTGAACTCAGCGGTTTTCATTCTGCTTGTCTGAATCGTCTTCAAGAAGCGAGAGCAAGATCTAAAAGGTCAGCCAATCTAACAGTGATCTCATACCACAATCCTTACTCTTGCTCCATATGTGACCTCCTTTGTAAATCACCAGCGGGTCTTAAATGCCACTTAAGATTATAGCACAAAGTTTCATGACTGAATCACTTAAGTTGTCATATCCTCATACGTCGAAACCGACGGGATAGTCCATTATTATTATTATTATTATTATTATTATTATATAAACTTTTTTTGTGGACGGAACTTAGTAAATTTTGTAAACGTTGAACAGAGATGTTATGATATTTTAAATCAAAAATCAAACATAAAATTGAATGCCTATATATAGGCAAAAAAAAAGTTATTCTACAGGCATATTTAGCAAAATTTTTAAAGGGTATATATTTAAACGTCATTAAATAAAACCATAGATTTAAAAAAAATAAATAAAATAAAAATTTTGAATTAAACAAAGAATGTTGAATACAATTATATGAAAAAAGCTTAATAGTTATTTATTCAAAGAAAAAGTTAAATTAAATTAAAAAATACAAATAATTTATAAAAAAAATAAATATTAAAACAAAGTATTTAAAATAACATAATCGAAGAATAGTGAAAAGAAGAATTTGAAAAAAAAATGTTTAATACTTATTCATTTATTCTAATACTAACGCGGTACTATTACTACTTCTACACACACACACACACACACACACACACACACACACACACATATATATATATATATATATATATATATATATATATATATATATGTATATATATACTGTTACAATATTTCGCGGCACACTTAAGGTGATCGCGTGGCACTCCAATGCGCCGCGGCACAGCGATTGAGAATCGCCGACTTAATGTATTCCAATGACATTCAATTAATTTCTTTGTATTATTCTAACATATATTATAATAATAAAAAGAAAAACTTTATTAAACAGGCAAAAATAATTACTTAGTTTAAATTTTCAATAATTTTATTGCCTTGAAAAAAGTCGTTATTTTCTTTATGTCACGGACATATTAGTTTCGATTCAGGTACAATATATCTACAAGAACAATTTTCTATCCAACCAGAAGCACTCTCGCGTAAATCAAAAGGTTGCCTTTTGACCTACCATAAAGTACTAAAAAGACGTTCGTCTTGCTCAGTCAGTTACAAGATAGTCATACGTCTGGACACACCTGAAACCACATCGGGTGAATAGAAGAATGAATTCTATTAACATAATGAAAATCAATAAGGCAATTTAATTCATGCTTACACTAAATAAATATTTGCCCTTCAAGTTCCTTATCAGTTTATAATTTTCAGCCGTGAACTTGAATCAGACAAGAACTTCAAACGACAAAGTTTCTTTCTTTCTTATTACCAAGTCAACAAAACACTGAAAAATAAGCTGTAAATATATTTGTTTAATATAGATTTTATATTTGTTTTGAACCCATATTTTGTTCTCTCTTTTTCACCGTCTTTTTCTGTCAAGCTGGTGTTTATGCGATCTATTTCATCACTTTTTTTTATATTTTATCCTGACTCACATGAGGTAGTAAATATTGTTTACGGAACAGATTACTCATGAGTTGTTTAGATCAAGTATGTCAAACATGCGGTCCGCGGTCTTTATGCGGCCCGCTGCCTTTAAGCGGCCCGCGGTTGTTATGCGGCCCGCGATCTTTATGCGGCCCGCGGTCTTTATGTGGCCCGCTGTCTTTAAGCGGCCCGCGGTCTTTATGCGGCCCGCGGTCTTTATGCGGCCCGCGGTTGTTATGCCGCCCGCGATCTTTATGCGGCCCGCGGTCTTTATGTGGCCCGCTGTCTTTAAGCGGCCCGCGGTCTGTATGCGGCCCGCGGTCTTTATGCGGCCCGCGGTCTTTATGCGGCCCGCGGTCTGTATGCGGCCCGCGGTCTTTAAGCGGCCCGCGGTTGTTATGCGCCCCGCGGCCTGTATGCGGCCCGTGGTCTTTATGCGACCAGCGGTCTTTATGCGGCCAGCGGTCTTTATGCGGCCCGCGGTCTTATGCGGCTCTTTACATGCACAACTGTTGCCTGCACAAAGGAGACTAATTTGGTCATTTAAAGGTCAAAATTGCAGATTTTATAGTTAAAAAATTACAGTATTTAAGAAAATAAATCCCGTTTTTTACATTATGATTTATTTTAATAGAATATCAAATAATAATACCCATTACTACATAAATTTATTTAAAATCATTTTAATATTATGGATAAACTTAGTACGGTACTAAGCTATTATTTTAAAAATTGTAGCAAATATTCGATATTCTTAGTGGCTGAGAAAATAGCGTGAGAACAAAATCTCTGTAGAAGACATGTCACCAGCCATCACACCATGAAAACAATATGGCAGCTCATTAACAGTTGTAAACAGAAAAACCTTTTTCAAAATTTATAAAGTTTTTGCTTTTAAAGGTGAAATGTCAGCCAAAAAAATGTTTTAGAGGCGCTATCATATTGCTTTAATTCTACAGTTATATGTAGTTTAAATTTACCATTAATTTTTCAAATTCCGCGCCATCAACTCCTCCAGCTAAGAGAAAAAGGAAATTGAACGAAGAAGGGCGAGTGTTTCAAGAAAAGTAGGAATTACGGTATTTTTGCACAACGGTGAATAAAAAGATACATTGTTTAATTTGTAACAACTCCATCGCTACGCCAAAAGAGTACAGTCTGAAAAGACATTATGAAACGAACCATCTATTTTATGATAAATATGAAGGCCCAATGCACGTTTCAAAACTCAAGGAATTGAAGGCTAACTTGGCACGGCAACGGACCTTTATTTAATGATAATTCAGAAACAGAATTTTGCTTCCATTACTGCGAGCTATGAACTCAGGTGAATGATAGCCATGAGTGGGACATGTTACAGTGAAGGGACTTCGTAATGCAACGCATTGTAAAAACAGTTGAAATTGTATGTCCAGTGAAAGCACACTTATTTAAAGATATTTCATTAAATACAAACACTGTTGCTGAACGGATTGATGAAATGTCAGGTGATTTGAAATAACAGGCTGAAGGCTGTATCATCAAGATTTGATCATTTTTCTATTGCTATTGATGAAATCATTGACATCACTGGAATAGCACAGCTTGCAATCTTCTTCAGGGCCTGTGTCAGGGAATTTAATATTTATGAAGAACTGATTGAACTGGTCCCCATGCATGACACTACATAAGCGAGGACATCTTTGAGGCAGTTGAGCAGATTCTGCATGAGTATAGTTTTGATTTGCATGCTTATCTATTGACAATGCTGCAAATATTGGCAGCCATGATGGTGTTGCTGCTAAGTTACAAAACAAACTAGAAAACTCGCATCCAGATTCATCATTTGCACATTTTCACTGTATTATTAATCAGCCAAATTTGTGTTCAAAGATTTTAAAATTGGACCATGTTCTTAGCTTGGTCACAAAGCTAGTAAACTATATTAGAAGCCGTGCTCACAACCACCATCAGTTCAGTCAGTTGTTGGAAGATATGGATGATCAAGTTCATTGATGTCCCATTTTACACAGAAGTCCGCTGGTTGTTATGTCAAAAAGTTGTTATGGTCCGGTTCCTTGTACCACGGTGATAGTCCAAGTTAGAACCAATAAAGAAGAACTCGAATACGGATATGGAATAACACATATATATTACAAACAGGAATATATACAGAGAGGTAGGAAGTGTTAGTACGAACAATCAGGTTTAGTAGTAATTGTCTGAACGCGACTGGTTCGGACTGCCTCTGACTCGCGCGCTCTGATTGACTGACAGACTTCTGACGGACATCTGACGGACTTCACTCCAGACTTCAGACGGAACTCTCTGCTTCCTCTTGAGGCGCAGTATTTATTACGTATGGAATAGTCCATTATGTTATTAGGGGTAAGCTCCCATAACAAAAGTGCTGAAACGATTCTATTTGTTGGGGCAATAAATAATAATGATGTTTTGGGAAATGAAAGATCAAAATACAGATGAAATAAAAGACGAAAGTTGGCTCCAAGATTTGGCTTTTGCTCTCAATATTACTGTACAATTAACTGATTTTAATTTTAAAAACAAACTTATCGCTCAGTTGTATGATGAAATCAAGTGCTTAATTACAAAATCTTATAGAAGTCACAGTTGTCAAATGAAAATTTAGTTCATTTTCCTACGCACAAAGAGCTGAAAAACACTCCCAATACCAAGACTGTACTTAGTTTTGCTAAGTATGACAATCACCTGGAATTGTTGTCAAAGGAATTTCAGAAAAGATTTAGTGATTTCTCATCTTTTGAATATCAGTTTGCATTATTCTTGTCACATTTCCCCTCTGAGGTTGCCAAGACAGAAGAAAGCCTGCAGATGGAACTATTAGAAATGCAGTCAGATTCTACACTCACAGCAAAGTATCTTGAAGTAGGAATACCTGGGTTCTTTTCATACCTTCCTGAAAAGTTTAAAAAATTCAAAAAGTTTGCCACAAAGATTATAGCAATGTTTGGTTCTACTTAAGTGTGTGAAAAGTTTCCTTCATGAAATCAACAAAAACTTCTCAGAGAACAAAACATTTGTCATCTCTGATCAAAGACAGAACTGCACAGACATTTCAGCCTGACATACCAAAAAATTGTCAGCAAAAAGAGGTGTTAAGCCTCGACAAAAAGACCTAAAACTGACGGAATAGGAGCAAATAGATGTTCAGTTTTGAACTGTTGTAATTTTTGTACAATGTATTTGTTGCTGTTACAAACTGCAATTATATGTTGTTTAAAATTTTTTTTTATCAAAATACTTCATTATTTTGTATACATGAATCCTTCTAAAACATTTGTATACACATTGTGTGTTTCTAAATTTAAGTAACAGTAATATTCTGCATTAAATTTTATTAAATGACACTAATTAGTTGTAATATGTACAATTGGTTGTCGTGTGTGGCCCTCATGACAACACATATGTGACCATGTGGCTCTCAGGTGACCCTCAGTTTGATATGCCTGGTTTTGATGATACCTTTTTCCTCTACAAAAGAATACATAAATCTGACTTTCGGTTAATGGAGAGATCGCGGCATTTGAGCCATTTTACAAAATGAACTTACGAATGTTGATTTTTCAAAAGTTCTTTATATTCGTTTATAGGATTCTAACGTGAGCTTGAAGCAGCAAAAACTGATTATTTACAACTTATATGTTACAACACCTTATTCTGAATTGCCAGGTTGAGGGCACATTAAGATTTACTTTAAAGTAATATCTTATTTAAGTCGACATTTAGACTCGATCGTTCATTGTGAAGAATGATATTCATGATATTCCTTGACAGAATTTTTTAATATTTGCAATTGAGTTCAAGATTCTACAACAGTCAACAGATTTTTAAATTATTTTTTTTTGTTTTATTGAAATCAAAATCTTAAATTTTGAAGTTTTTAAGACTCACGTTTTAATCATTTTCCCATTATCAGTTCAAATTTCATGTCCCTTCTATAAATTTAATGAAATTATAAGAATATGCAAGGTTTACATTAGTGTTAAACATTATGATGAGCCTTGTTTGACTCCTGTTTTTGACTAGTAATATATATATATATATATATACGTCATAACAAAAAAGTGAGACATTTATACATATATAGGATTTATTTATTAGAAAGATTTGGTTGTACTAGTTCGGTATATATATGAAGGTTCTTGTAATCTGGTTGTTAAATGTTTGTTTTTTTGTGTGTTTGTCTTGAATGAATAAATTAATTGCAAGTGACAAGTCTATCATTAAAAAGTACTATTAAACATGAGAAAGTGCTACTTGTGTAAAACATATCTGGGGGTTTTCATTCCTGCTCTCTTTGGTGGAACAGAGGATGACTCTAAATTTCCTGCCAGCAGGGTGGTTTCCTTTTTCCTAGGGAATCATGGGAAATTTTTTTTTTTTTATTTCTCGTGATCGCGAGATAACGTCAAAATGATTTTTTTTTTTCAGATTTGAATGATCAGAAAAAGAAAGAAACAAGCTTAATATTTACTAATCTTAGTAGGGTACTAAAACAATTTAGGGGAAAGGAAGCTAGGGAGAATGTTTTGCGCCAAGTGAAATGGCATGCCTACATCGATAATCAAGATTCTTTTTTTTTTTTTTCTTCTTAACTCAAAAACCGAACGCTGCAACTGATAGGAAATACGTGAAGTAAGCCATGAGGCAAACCTAAAATATTTAGTTAAACTTCGTCTAGAACAAAAAATTTGCACAGAGGATCGATAGCAGACTTATCGATAAGACGAGCTTACTAACCACTGTGCTATGACATAACTCCCAAAAGATACCAGTTCTTTTAACCTTCATCTTTTTCGACTCTTTACTTCAAGTAGTTTTATAGACTTTATTTATAGACATTACATGATATTCAATTCATGCTTTTTTTTCTTCTTTCCTTTTCCTTTTTTTAAAAAATATTACAAGTCGCCTTCTTAATCGTGTTTATTTTCTGGTGAAGAAAGTTGATGTTAAATTTGATCAGATAAATTTTGCGGTAAAGTCACAGTGTGGAAAGCGAATGGGATAAAGAGAATCAGAGAGAAAAACACATAGATGAAAGAAGCAAGAATTATAAGCAGTGTGGTCAAACATTTTGAAAATAGGGGGTGGCGGGTAGAGAAAACCAGAAAAGAAAATATGAAGGCAAAAAAATAAACACAGAGAAAGGATGGTTGTGTGTGCCATGAAAGTCGATAACAAATTTGCCTGGGTATTTATTCGTCCTGCCACAGAGACAGGATATGGTATAAGTTCTGTTTTGAAGAGGGAAAGAGAAGAAAATTGCTCAGTTCCTCGACACTTCCCTTTAGAACGCCTTAGTAGTTAGGGATTGATACAGACCCCTCTCTCCCTTTAAGTACAATTGTGAGGTGCTGAATGGTGGAAAGCAGCCTCTCCCCAAACTGCCACTGGAGATGAGATATTGTACTTTTTATAAGCCCGATTAAGGATGACTGGGTTTCTGACAGGACCGGGTAAAACATGTCAGAAAGAGACAATGATAGAGGGGGAAAATTGTGAGAAAGAAAGAGACAATGATAGAAAAGGAGAAAATTGTGAGAAAGAAAGA